TAGTTAGCAGTAATTTCAGGATCCTGTGCACAGAATTTATCACTGATGTGTGCAACTGAAAAGTCAGTTTTCTGTAACAGCTTAAACTGTAGAGGCTTTGTAATTAAAGCTGTGATGGTCAGAAATTATCTGATGCTGATGTAGGTTTGGGCCAATTTCTTTCTTTGACCAGTCTTCTTTAAAACTCTTTTTGACTGAAATGATAGGTACAAAAATTTTGCACCCCTATGTAGCAGTATGCTTGTTTCAGAGTGTGAGTATGGATTGGTGGCTAGCAGGGATTTTTTTTTTTTTTGTGTGTCCTGGGTGTTTCCCTGTGGTTTTGATGGCATATGACTTTCATACTTTCTGCTTCAGATTGTCTTGTGTGCTGCTTTATTTCTTGTACCTCAGAGCTGGCTGCAGGAGCAGTTGAAATGAATCTATAAATAGTTCCTTGAACTCTGCCATGGCATATAAATATTGCTCTCTACTACCCCAGACATTCTGGGCACATTCATTTGTCCTCTTTTATGGTGTAGGGAGGGAAGGGCTCATTCTCACCTGTTCAAATACTTCCAGTTACATGTGAAAAAACCCCCTATCTATAACAGATGAATCTGTGGTAGTGTAAGAAAAGCCTCTGGCGGGTATTAAACCAGCTGGTATTTGTACATGGTTCACATTACAGTTCAGAGCACTAACCCAGGGAAGCATGAGTTGGGTCATTGCATGCTTGGGGTTTATCTGGCAAATCACAGCGACAGAAGCAGTGCAATGACCCACTTAGAACGACATGTTCAGGCTCCTCAACGTTCCCCATCTGCAGTGCTGGTTTCACTTGTGTGCTTAACTCAGGGCTGAGTTAAGCTGAATCTCAAAGCAAATGACTGAAGGCTTGATTATTTTAATAGAGCAGTTTATTTCTTTGGTCCTTAAGTGGCACTTGTAGAAAGTCTTGAGATAAAATTACTCCATTTTATATTAATGTAAGATGGCCAAAACAATCTTAAAGGACCAGATCCTTTAAGATATTTAAATAGGAAATTACTTTTCCAGTCACTTGGAGCTAGAGTCCGGCTCCCAAAGTGGACACAGGACCGGGCCCTCTCTTGCAAAGGGAAACACTGGCTTGTGAGAGAGAAGTGAAACTCTCCTTTTGGAGGGAAGTATCAAGAGCCACTGCTTGTAACTCTCTGGTAATTCTTCACTGGTAGAAATAAATAATTACATTATTTTTGGGATGTTTCTAAAGTGGTTTACTGATTTATCTGATGGATGGAAATGTAGGAGGATTACTTTGCTATTTGTTTATGTGGGTGATGAAATAATGGCTTCCAAGTTTGTTATTTGTGTTGGCAGCAAGAAACATGAATTGTTGAGATGTGAGTGTCTGTACTGTGGATAGCAACACATTTCGTGTTGTCAGTCAACACTCCCCCCCTCCCTGCCCTCGTGTCACTTGTGATGTAATGCCATTCTGATGTAGTGGAACCCTCTGTGCTCCTGATTTGTAATTAGATGTGACATCATGATATAAAGGTTGCTAAAAAAATTGGTATGGGATAGATGTTATAAAAAAAAAGGTATTAAAAAGCTATTAAAGCTATTTTGGTAAGAATGCTTTCTACTTTTTTGTGGTATCAACAATCTGTTACCACAAAACTTTGCTCCTTTGTGACCCCTGAGGAAACAAAATCTAAATATAAAAGACATATTTCTTAATATATTATATAGGGGATTCTCATTGATGAAAACGAAACAGGAGCTGGGAGTCCTCGATGCAGCTGCACAGTGTAACTATTTACAGCACACTTGCACTAGAAGTTGCACCTGCAGGATTTTTCAGGTTCTTCCCTGGTTTCATCACCACATATTAACTAGAAGCTTCTGCTATTTTTTTTTTATGTTTCAGAGGTGACACAAAACCCATAAATGAGAGCCTAGCAGTTACCAGTATCACTTTTTTTAGCTTAATTAGCTTCTGATTCAGGGAAGTGCAAGCAGGAATTCATTCATTATTTTGTTTCAGTGGATTTCTGTCATATTCTGCATAGATATGTGTAAAAATATTTTTAATTTTCAAAGGAATGTAACTTCATTATGTGGATGAGAACAATAGATTCTAGAATCTAAAGACTGGGCAATCTTTAGCTAGGACTTGGGAACTTAACTGTCTAGCTGTTACAGGGAGAATAAAAGTAAAACGGCAATTTTTGCATCCAGGCAAATAAATGGCATGATGCTGATTATCAATTGAGTTGCAGAAGAAAGCCTTATTAAATTCAGCATGCCTATTCACTGTGTCTGGGTAAGGTACCAATTTCCATTGTGTTGGTCAGGTAGTTCCCTGCTCTGTAAAAAGGATGGATTCAGGTATGGGTCTGATTGGTATTTGCTGATTGTAACAAGGGGTTCTGATGGATAAATTTTTTTTTTTTAAGCTAACTTCTCATTTAAGTACTAAATACGAACTATCTGCTCTGCTCTGTTGGGTGAACAGTTAAAAGAAGTGGATTTTGGTCTCTGTGTGCACTCATACTTTTCAATATAACAAAACCAACCCAAACTGGACATTGAGTTGTTCTAGTGCTTCTTTTTTAGTTTCACATTAACACAGCAATTATTAGCAATACAGTGGGATCTGTTGAATTCAAAGGGGTTTGCTGTTAACTGGAGCAAAGGCAGGGTTTCACCCTGTAACTATTAATGCTGTAAGGGGCTATAGTTAGCAATGACCTAAAGTCTTTCTGGAGCTACTGACTTCATGTTTCCAGCTTCCCATGGGCTCATGCACTGCTTTTTCAATGCACAGGAAGCACCTCGTGTTCCTGTCTGGTTCTGTATATCAGCATTTGAAAGGCAACTAGTAAATACCAGGCATCGCAGAATGACACCATGCTTTGCTTTGGCACGGGTGACAGAATGTGAGACCTGCTAGGGTGACCCTTTGCTTAGTTTGGGATATAGATAACTACCCTAAACTGCTCATGCATTAGTCTCCCTGGCTTGTTGGTATGTTTTGGGCTTTCTTGTTTTAGGAAGCCTTTGCCTCAACAGCAAATATACTCGCTGCAGGGTAGGGACTGAGATCAACTGGCTTTTAGGGATGCTGTGGTTATGTTACCTGTTTCTCTGTAATGTAGTACAACTCTGCAACAGACTTGATTTTTTTTGCACTGGCACTGACTTTTCTTAGTCTGCAAATCCAGCTGCCAACTCATAGCATTAAAAGCAAATCCTAATAGAAATCATGAAGCATGCTACATATGCTGTCAAGAGAAAATGAATTTGGTTTGATACATAATTTTCTAGAAAAATCAGTGATTATCTGAGGCTTTTAATTGATCTGTTCTCATATTTTCCTAGATATTAAACTTGCTGGCCTCAAATTCCCCAGATTTCTCTTGCTCTGGCTTTTAGGACAAAACACCACTTACTCGTGTGGGGTGTCCTTCATGGTTTTATGGGGGTCTAGCCAAGGAAACTCAAAAAAATCTTTGTTTGTTCTTTAAATACTGTAGTTGGGATTTCAGCAGAGTTAGCAGAATTGAGTATATTTGGTTTAACCTGGATATACTTAAGTATTTCTCTACTTTTTGACTAAAACGTTAAGACAACAATCTTCTCCCGAAGTGTCAATAGCTTGCAACTCTCTTTACAATGGCAAATATTTTTCTCTTTTTCATTCACTTTGCAATTAGCAGAGGATTCTATTCCACCCCTTAACCACTGAGGCCCTTAACTATCCAGCATTTCTTTATATTAGTGAGACTATACTAACCAACTGGTAGTATTAGGCTAGTTTTTGTAGAAGACTACTAAAGCACAGTACTACCTGTTTCTGACAGTTCTCACAGGTATCTGGCTTAAAGCACGACTTCAGTGATGTCCTGAATCTCACACAGGGTCACCCAGCAAACAGAAGGGGCAAACCACACAATGTTTGACTGCATATGCCAGCATTTGGTTATTGGGCTGTGAGAAGAGCCCAGTGTGTGGTCGGTTTGAGCTAAATTAGCAGAGGAAGGGTACGGTCACTTCAGTCATGCTGACTAAATTAGGCCTTGTCCCGACTGAAAGTACTCCCAGCACTGACAATGCCTGGACTGAAAAAGGAGTTTCTGGTGGAGTTTTAACAGCAGTCCCTGGGTGTAACCTCCCTCTAGATAGGTATCACTTTCTGCTACATATTTATTATTTATTTAGAGATGTTGGTGGCTTTGCATTTTCCAGCCCAGCAACTGTGAAGACGAAACAGCATAAATCAGACTTGAGGAAACAGATGATTCCTGCCCAAATGCAGGTTGCTGTTTGTTGTACTGGATTCTTTAGTGGTAGAAGCACAGCACTCGGGAAGAAGCAGCCTGGCAGGAATGGCCAGCATGGCATGATGAAGAAGGACCAAAGAGCTACTCTGAGGTGCCAGCAGTATCTGTGCTACCAGGCAGTGAAAAAAAATTCAACAAAAACCAAACACAACAACCCCCCACCCAAAACCTAGAACCTGCTTTGCTTCTTGTTGTAAGTTCTTTTTTTTTGACAATTGCTTCTTGATAGGCAGAGATATCCCAAGTGTAAAATATTCCCCAAAAATCAGTGATTTCCTTAATTCTCATTCCTATGCTGTCGTTTAATATGGGAGTTCTCACTTTGCTTTTGTTGAAGGATTAGCATGTAGGAACTTATGGTGCGTGTAAAGGGTTTATCCATTGTGTGTGTTTTACCTTTGTGTTTCTGTGTAAAGGGTGGTTCTGGCAAGAGAAAAATCACCTCAAATTGGTGCAGTCTATGCAGAAAGTCCATAATGTTGCTTTTGCATTCAGGCATTTCAGGGGTGACACAGAAGTGGACCAAGTGAGAGCTGTGTGGGCAATGCTAGTGCCCCATATCTATAACTGGTGTAGGCTTGATGGAGATGTGTGTGTGTCAGTACAAGGTGTAACTATTTGCATATAAGCTTGAAGAGTTAAGCACTTTGCAATACTTACTTGTATTTGCAGAAATGATGGGGGAAACAGTTTTGTACTCCAAGCAAAATTTATTAGAAGTCTATTCAAGAAAAAAAACCACAGAGACCTTTTGCTTGTAGGAATTCAAAGTCAGTTACCTGAAAGCCAGGTATGAAAAACCTGCATTTTTCTAAAATCAGATACAGAGTAGAAACAGTACTTTTTAAATATCACAGGCAACAGATATTTAAGTCCTCAATCATAAATGGCATCAAAGATAGTATTAATCTCACAGCAAAGCTGCATGCAGATCTAGTTTAAAATTGAAAGCCTTTGAATATAAAGCTTTTGCCATGAAATCTGCAATAATAAAGGTATGCTGCACAAAGATGTTTCTTTACCTTTGCCTTAATGACCTTTCTCAGTAATAAAGACATATGTACATTTAGATTTGGCTGGTAAACCATATTTTAATTAATAAAATTTTGCATAAAAGGCTATCTTACAGAATTGCACTATCCGAATGTGCTTATGGTAAACAGAGCAAGAAAAGAAAAACGCATTGAAATGTTCTGTACGTGAAGAGGGCAAATAAGAAACTTAATTTTTTAAAAATCAACAACCAAATGGCTCTGTACAAAAAAGCAAAATTATGTACAAAATGCTACAGAGACTACATACATTTTGATAATTTTGATCCTTTACCCATGAAAAATGCAGCAGAAGCTTTTGCCATCTATAAGGTGCCAAAGGAACCAAATCTGAATTTTTGTTTTTATAAAGCCATAGTCATTATTATCCTGTGCCTTAATTTCATTTGCTATTTATGCTTAACTTTGCTTATGGAAAATGTATGTTTTCAAACACTTGTTCATTCAGACAAAAAACCAAAACCCAACACCTCTAAAATATATCAGTTTTTAATACTTGTGACATTTTTCTGTCTAAATTCCTAAAAAGAATGTGTAACTTGGGTTTCATTAACATACATACACATATATAGTGAAATAAATCAGTACATGATGCTTGTGAATATTTTTCAGGTGGCTATGTTAGGGAAGAAAAAACCAAAAAACCCAACAACCCTTTGCACTAACACTGTTTATCTTCCTGCTTCTTTAATTTCCTGATAAGTAAAAACACTAACCTCTTACACTTCATGTTGCTTACTATTACAACATTTTGATTACAACCATTTAATATCAGACATCAATAGCAAGTTATTATTGTCTACGCTTACAGCATTTTCTTGCTCTTCCTTAAATCCTCTTTCCCAAGTCTTTGTGCCTTTTGCACTTCTTACCTTTTAACAGGAAATACTACAGGTTCACTACAGTTTTTCATTAGGGAAAAAAAGAAAAAAGATTTAGCCAATACCATTGCACCCGTTCAGAACACTTGCAGTTCTTCCATTTTTCACTTTGCTTGCTTGAGATTTTACAATCACTGTGCATTTGTTACAGCATACAAGTGCAGGCAAAAAAATCTATATTATAGTTTGTCATACATTGTAAACCAGTACAATAGGCAAACCTGTGACACAGCAATGTGGAAGCAACAAATGCTGCCAAGCTAATAAGAATGTGTAAAATCAATTTTTTAAAAAATAGTAAACAGCAACTTTCCTCTGTATTACATGCATGCTGAAAAAATCCCACCAGACTTCATGGTAGTACCACAAATGTTCAAACCAAGAATAATTTTTTCCCCTTCCCCCCAGCCCCCCCATGGCAACTCCTCTGTGTACCTGTCATCAGGCTTTTCCTATCGTGTTTCACATGAAAAGACTTTAAAGCAGGGAGTATTTAAATGTTGAAATGATTCCTCTTGTCTCAGAAAAGCTTAGTTATTCACATTGTGGTCGTTGCTGTAATACTGCTGGAACGGTTTGGCGGGTGGGATGGGATGAGGATGAACTAGATGGCCTCTATTTGAGACTGCAAGCAAGAAAACAGAAGGCCAGCGTAGCATGTTTTCTAGCAGCTTTATGCAGATGTGTTGCAGAGATGCAGCATAAATAAGTAGGAAAAAAAATTTCACAGCCTCTTGACATAGTTTCCAGGGAAAGTACCAAAGAATTTGGTTCTTCTTGAGGTTCCTGAAATTAGAAGCAATAGATGAAAGATGGGAATAACAACAGAAAATCACTATGTAAGCATGGCCTTAAAATTTTTATGTTTAATATTGCACAAACAGAATGATCTAAAGTTCCTCATACTATATAATTTTATTTGTGAGGTTTACGAACGTGTAACTGCAGGAAGCAAAATACAAATGAAGAGGCATATTTGATTAAATTGTTAGGCCTGATTAAAAGCTGTGCTAAAATTCTTGGTACATAGAAATAATATAATTTCAACAACATAAAGTCTATTTAAATAATGTGAAATTTTTAAATATTAAGGACTTGTCAGATGATTAAGTTAGCTGCTGTGTGCACGAGGGCTTATGAAATGGTTAAGCCACCATATCTAGGCCTGGTTATGACATAGGCGTTTGTTCAGTAATACTTGGGTTTCACAAGTGGTCAATGCTGTAGATGTATTCATGTGAGAAGGTTTTAAGTTACCTGGCCTTTATAAAGAGAGAAGTAATACATAGTCCAATCTGTGTCAGAGATGACAACAATGCTGTACAATAATCCAGAGGCGTGTGTCAATTTGCATCTATCATTTTTAAAAGGCAGAAGTGCAAAATCACCTGCTAATTTCAGTGGATTTTGGTTGGTATTTCTCCTGATAAAGCCAGGTTCAAATTTATTACACTAAATGCCAAAAATCAAGTGTTTTAAAATAGACTACACGAAGAGGGCAGCAAAGGTTGGGGGAAACAAAAGAAGAAAGCAACCAAATTAAAACATACCCACAAACCATCCATCATCACATTTTTCCATCACATCAATGACATCTCCCTCTCTGAGCTCCAATTCATCTTCATTCCTAGGAGTATAGTTATATAGAGCCTGAAACCTTAAATAGGACAAATGATGCATTTTAAAAAGAAGTAAGAGTTCCTTGCACTTTTGCTCAAGTAAAGGAGCTGCTTTAAACATTAAGAAGAAACACTTCTTGCAAATAGAGGGGAAAAGGATTTTTTTTTTTTTTTTGCCCAGTGGACTTGAGGGTTAGGAGCTTACAGTAAATAAAACCTTAATTAGAAAGGCAACTCATGAGACACTGAAGAATGGGTTTAAAGGCAAGCCTGATGGCTCCTCAACCAGTTGTTTCAAAAACAGATTTTAAAAAAAATGTTTTAGTGTTATTTTACAGTTCAGTCACCAAACAGAGGACTTCTAAAGCAGAGTCTAGATGTGCTAGCCCTGTAACCTTCCATGATCAGCACCTAACACTGTGGTTCAGCCTTTAAGCTCTGAGAAGCCAGTAGCAGCACAAGTGGGGGTACCCAGGACAGCAGCTCTTGCACACTGTCACTGTGGCTGGGTGAGCTCCCTGGGCTCTTCAGTGAGTACACAGATTAGCCATCTCTGTCTGAGAGTGAGGGAGAGCCTTGAATCAAATCAGAGGACATATGGATGGAAACTCAAACAATATTCAAACCCTGAGCCATGCTTCTACACTTAGCCAGGGCTGCAGATTGCAGGATGTAAGGTAGATAAAAGGCAAGAGGTGTGCAATTACTAAATGCATTGTATTTCATTCTTTGCCAGCTTTTAATTGAAGTTTTTTTTAATTGAAAGAATAAACTCTCACTGGGGGAACTGAAGGTTCTTGGGCTGACAGCCCATAGGAAGATTTTTGCACAAGCCTGTGAGTCCTGCAGAGTCAGAATTGACCTTTTTTTTCCTAAGCAACTGTGCCTCAGATATGACTGTCTAAAAAGAAGCAGGATACAACTGCAGGAATTGGGAAAAGGATGTAGTTTTAATTTCAGATTACTGAAGAAAAACATAATTGTATTCATTCTTTTCTCTTAAAACAGTTCACTGAGTTTTAAACCTTAATACCATTATTACACCTTCCCCAGTACAAACAAGACAGCTTGCTCATTGATGGCTAAGTTTTCATGGCTTAAATAAGATGTTTATTTTAGTAAAAAATTCCTTCTCCTGAAAGCCTAATTTGAAAATACTAGATACAGACTGGTGCTAGGTTTAGTTTAATGACAGTCATCTTGAATAAACTACACTTATTTTTCACATTGTTGGTTCAGAGATTAGAAAAGAAAAAAAAATGTTCAAACCCCCCCCCCAAAAAAAAACCAAAAAAACCCCACCACCCTTAATTTCTCGTCACTGGAAGTCATCTTCCCAAGCCCCAGAAGTCTGTTTTTATATTTTAATTACACTAACAAAATGGAAAGAGATTGGTTTGTAAAGCAATTACCTTTGGTATTTGTGTAGCAGGAGTAAGAACAATCTGTGCAAAAAACTAAGTGGCAATAATATTTTCTATTATGCTTATCATCATTCCAGGAAAGCAGAGCTATGGTGATATTCCAAAAAATAATTCAATGCAGCTCCAAGGGGACAGGGTTTGTAGATGTAATGTGTCATGAATAAGATTCAAGCTAATTACTTACTAAAGTACAGTAACAAGAACTTCCCAATGAGCTCTCTTTGTACTTTAGAAATTGAATCTTAGTAATTTCTAGATAATCCATTTATAAAACTTCTTTACAGTAATTTCATTCTCTCTATGCTAATCTAAGACTTGTGTAAGTATAAAAACTCTACTAGCATTTATGATATTGCAGAAAACATTCAAAAGAAAGAATGGTTAGCCGGCAATTTAAATATATTTCTATTTTTAATTTTAGGAATAAATAACTTTAGTCATGAACTACTTATACTATATCGAACAAAATGACTTAGACAATTATTGCTCTCGAAACTGAGTGAGTTGCTCCAGTACGCTCAACAATATCAACAGGAACTTGTGGTTTTAGTGAGAGTAAATATCCAAATCTAATTATATATCTATGGTATAGCTACTTGGTAACTTTTTGCCCCTTTTTTTCTTCTTCAAATGACTAAAGATAACTTAAAAATATTTTTAGACAAAAGATCTTAGGTACGTTTTATGAAAAATGATCTAATAGGGCATATGCTGAAGTGCTCTGATGCTAAAGGAAGAATAACTACTGGTTTCAGTGATCACTGAACTAGGACCCAAGTGCAAGACTGGGGGGAGGACCTCGAGACAATCTTGCACTGAACTTGCATTTTAACAGTCAGTACTGAAATATCCCAAGCACTTAAAATGTTTGTCAAAATAAGACAAAAATAGACTTCTAGGTTCTAGATTCTTCAGTTTTCATAAAAACTTTTCTTGTATCTCAGATCTGAATTGCACTTGTAAGTCACACCAAAAAGTGTGAGCCTCTGTTCCTGTGATCAGCATTATCAAGCTACTTTTTTTTTCCTCTCTATTCAAATCCAGAACTGTTTCTGAACAATTGTATCAAGTCAGTAAACTGGATCAGTTGAGTCAATGTTGAATATATAATTGTCATTTCGCTGAGATGTAAAAATGAAGAGAATAAAAAAAGTCAAAATCTCTTCTGTAAGTACAGACAATGAAGAACTGTGAAGTTGCCATGTCTGGCTGCACTAAATGTAAAATTGAACAAATAAGGCTTTGCCCTCTGGGACTTAGATATCTCTCTGCATCATGCAGTTATCTATAAATCTGTGAAATCTCTTCATAATTGTACTTGGCAAGTTAAAAAATTATCTGATGACATGCTGGCTGTTGTTTAAATGTTATATTTTTGTTTAGTAGACAAGAATTATACTTACGGTTCCCCCCCACTGTGTATATTTTCATGAGAAAGCACAGGGCGCTGTGGCTGAAATGAAATGATTTGAAATGTAATAAAGATTTGCAGTTTAAGGTCCATATAGTTGGATAGGAGTGTAACACATAGCTGCTCAAGAGTTCATATTCTACCTTGTGTAAAATCATGGCCCATTCTGCCCCCCTTCCAACTCACAATAAATTCTTAAGAGACATGACAAACAACTGAATCTTGGCACGTTTAAAGATCTGATTTTTGGAGGTCATAATAAAAACAAAACAAAACTGTGAACTTCATCAACAGTCCATTCTATTTATAGTAGAGTACAAAGCTGGAATAGAACCCTGCTGCTTCTTCACTGTGAAACAGAAATAACATCAGATGCAACTATGAACATCATACTTTCTTTGGTTGAAATATATTTTTAGATTAGCAGAAATAAAATCTCTTATACATAATGGCAGAATCTAGAATATTCACAGACGAACAACATACTAATTTACATTGCACACACAGAGTACTAACTTGGCAGGCATAACATGCTATGCTTTAACTAATTCTGTTTCATCTCAAGCCATGCGGGCTGCTGGGAGGCAAAGAACAGAAAAAACTTTTGAAAGAATACATTTAATTGTGTGAATATAACAATTAACATTTCAACAGAAAAAAGTAGTCTGTATTTCCAGTGCAAAGCTTTTTGAAATATGTGCCTTCCAAATGGAGTATTAATGAGCAATAATATTCAATACATCTGGATGCAATGGAAATGAAAAATACTAACCTTATATAGAAACCATATCCTGCTTAGAAAGTCATTGACTTAGACTGATTAGAATCTGGCTGGGGCCAGAAAGTGCAGGAGCAGCTGTTTGGGAAAGCTATTGATACAAGCAGGGATCGTATTCTCTGTTGACTGAAGATGCCCTCTGGTCATGCTGTAGACACAAGTCTGGGAACCATATCTGTTTTGGGAGTGTGGATATCAAACACTGCTCATAGCACTTTCTTTCATGAATTGAGTAAACTGCAACCTGATCTTTAAGCCATGGAATTTGTCTTATCGACTCATGATTCTGTCTTGGTTTGACTATTTCAGTCACTGTTTTGTCACTCTTGAAGATGAAACAGTCTTCCAAGAGACAGCAGTAAACAATCCACAGGCTGATGGCAAAAATTGAATAGAAAAACACAGCATGTAGTTTGTTAGGTTTTTTCTCCCCTCTTTTCCCTCTCATCATCTCCAGATGAAATGAGTTAAATTTCTTTTCAGTGGTTTCTATGAATAAGTGCAGAAAATATTGTGAATGGTCTGTACCTTACAGTCTCTAGAGTATAAGTTTTAAAAGGTGCCTAAATACGCAGGCAGGTAGATTACAGATTTTTTTGAAAAATTCATATTATTGAATGCTAGGTGGGAAAGAGATTTTTCAAAATAAAAAAAAATAAGAATTGTTGATACTCTTTACCATCTTCTCTCCCTTGCTTAAGTCTCTGCCAGTGTACAAGAAAGATGGATAATTTTTGCCATTATATGAAGAATAAACAGTAAAGATGGCAAATTAAACAGTCCTCAGTAAACTCCCTTCAAAAGCTGGCTTGTCAAGCAAGAGAAGAATAGTCAGAATGCTTTGTATTTACACTGGAATCTGACCTGATTTGCTGCCAATCTTTCATCAGGTCTGTAACTGAGCTGAATGCCAAAGATAGTCAGAGATGCAAAAGAACTCAACTGAGGTTAAGGACTTCTCCCATAAACAATGGAAGTAAAAGTCCTAAACAATGCTACCAATGATTTAATGCTTTGAACAAATTTCCAAGCCAGGAGGGTAGGGTTAGTATTATCTTCTTTTTCTGCATATGCTTCATTCTATTACTAATTAGCTACTGTGGAAATAGATAAGAACCAAGGTGACTCATGACTTTCAATTCTGTGTTATTGCTGCAGAGAAAACCATCTTGCGACAAAATTACAATCTCAGAGAAGCAGAGTGAAGGAATTGGTGGCATGTCTGAACAAGGGGACCTTGGCACTTGCTCTCCGTTTGGATGCATTCCACAATAACACCCCAGTTGACATCCAGAAGCTTTCTTCTCCCTGTTTTCTTCCCTAAGCTCTCATTCCCACATACAGTTGCATTGGCTAGATAGGAGGCTGTTACAAAGATTCCTAGTTTTTAACTGCACTTCAGTTTACTAGACTATCCTATTTCCTGGGAAATAGTGCAGGACCTAATCCCAAAAACATTAAGGAGTATGCAATCAAGTCAATGGTCCCAGCTGTATGCCTGATTTTCATGCATGATTTGTACTGCACTTGCATATAAAAGTTCTGTAGATTCCTGAGCATGCAAATTAGGTGCATATGTGCTCTTGTACTTTTGGAATTAAAGTCCTAAATAACTACACATTCACCAATACACTCCTCTTAATATACTGGTTACTTGTCGTTCATTTGGAGTAATGTGCAAAACTAAAATAGGGCTTAATCCCTTTTTTACAGGGATCCCTTTTTCCTCTCATTCCTAGTTGGACTTTCTGTTTATCTGCTTTCTGGACTTGCTGTTTGTCTGCTACTACAAGAATCCTGGCCTTCCTATGATTGAACTGTCTTTCTTCATTAATGAAGAAAGCACTGTCCCCTCAATATCTGGAAGCAAACACAGGCCTGCCAAAAAGCTAAGACTGGAAGTTACACAAATCTGCATATCTTAAACTAAGATTCAAATTTTAAAAAGGGAGACACCAGAAAGATGATCACCTAAAATCAGCAGCAACAGCATAGAAAACTATTCATCCCATTACCAGTTTTAAGACTTAAATGTTAAGAAACCAATGCAAAGGACAATTAAATCCTAAACTGAAAGTAAAACATAAGCCATAAATTCTCATTCTCATATCATTTAGGTTGAGGGTGGTTTTTTGTGCTTGTTTGACTTTTTGTGGGTTTTTTTGTTGTTGTTTTGTTTTTTCTTTCCCCTTTTTAATAAGGTAGATTGCCTTTTTGAGCAAAATCCATGCAAACTCTAAACAACCTGACTTTCTGGCTAGGTGAAAATATTAGAGTTGTGTTATGATTACATTACAGATAAGAAGTGAAAAGTTAAAGAGTATTAAAATATGAAATGCTTGGATAAAGAGGAGAGTACTGAGTGAAAAAAATATAGCAGGAGCAAAACATTTTGAAAAGAAGGATATGGATTAAAAACCAAAAATTCAGTCTGTATACTGCAAAAGCCTGCAATGGAGAATAAATAATTCTTGACTCTTAGAGCTATAACTTTAATAAACTAAAAATTCTTTGAAAAAGAGGAGTAATTTTAATAAAACTAGACAAACTATAAAGAACCAGACTAAATATAAACACCTTGTAGCACTGGAAATACCATGTAGTACTGCAGAGATATAGCACACTAATGGATTTTTATAAAAAGTTCAGGCACACACAGACCTGTTGCCTTTACTCAGTCATAGCACAGAAGCACAACAGGAAGGAAACACAGCATATTGAGACACTTGGGTAAAAACAAAATACTGAAAGACTAGACACTGAGCTCCTTGTCCATGGAAAAGCTGGTATTGCACACTGGGCATCCAGTACCATACCCTGTGTGAATAGCTGTGACCTCTGACAGGTGAGCTGCAGAATCTCTTAGTCATCACTGGGCTACGAGGAGGTTTACCCATAACAAATATCTCCCTCTTTAAATTAGCCTAGAAGAACCACAAAAACTTTGTCAAGTGAGAGTTTAAGAATGAAGCATCATGGGATTTTTGTTGCTTCATTCATACATGCAAACCAGACATGCTTTTCCTGGTAACAAAAAGCAACTGTTACAGCTAGAAGGAACGGTACTATTAGTATACAGTATTTTAATTACTACCACTGTATCTTTTTCCCCCAAGGGTTTCCTGCTCTGGCACACGCCCTTACATGTTACAATTAAAAGATGAATCATGTAGAGCACATGCAGTTGGAACAGTTAATGCATGTGTACCCCCTGAAGTAACTCAGATAATAATACAGAAAAGCTCAACAGCACAGAGCAGAAATGCTACTTTAGAAATACCAATGGCAAGTGTAATTCCTTGCTGTTAAACAGAACACACCCCTTGGATTTGCATTTAGAGAGCAAGCGAATACTTGGTGGAAAGTACTTCATGAAAATATCCTCGTTTTGTTAGCATCACTCTAAATCAGCTTCATGGTTGTCAGAATTCAGTTCTTAAGGGGTGTGTGTGCAGCAAACGGGAAATATCGTGAGCAGGGGAGAATGTGAGGAGAGTGGAGTGCTCTATTGGGAACCTTTTCTTAGGTATTTGTGACTGTCAGTAGACTCTGACTGAACAAAAAACTAGCCCCCTCTTAGGAGAGGGATGAATAAAGATTGCAAGAGAGGCCAAGGAGGCAGAAAAATGTCAGCATTTCTCCTTAGGACATGTCTTCAGATATTCTCTTTTGGAGGACACATCCCTCCCACCAACAAAGTGCAAAATGACACTTCCAACCCATAGCTCCATTCAGTTTTAAGCCACATATCAAATATTTATATATATATATGTATGTATATATACATATGTATGTATTTTTAAATTCACAAAAGTTACTGAAGTATCAGTATACAGTGTCAAGAACATATATCCCTTCTGTTTATTTTCAGCTCAGATTAGCACACCTTGGTCAAATAAGGGCAAAGAATTTAAAGGTCACTTAAAAAGAATTTCAGAAGAATGTTCTTAATTTTTCTGGTTAGGCTAAGCAAAAGCACCAAAAGCATTCTACTGACTGCTACATTATTAAAAGTTTTACCCCTTCTTTGATGTGGAACAAATCTAACCTCATGACAGATTCATGCTCTGGAAAGAAGCTTTATGTCCCCTCCCTACTTCAGAAAAAAAGCAACAGATCTGTTGATCTTAAGACATCTTTAAGTCCATTATGTCTGTGTTTTCTGTGAATGCACATTGTAAAATGGGTAGACCTTTAGAAAAAAAAAAAAAGAAAAAATAAAAAATAAAGAAGGAGGGTATTTATAACATAGATGTAACAATGC